TCTCTCTCTCTCTTTCTCTCTCTCTCTCTCTCTCTCTCTCTCTCTCTCTCTCTCTCTCTGTTTTTGTTTTTGTTTTTGTTTTTGTTTTTGTTTTTGTTTTTGTTTTTGTTTTTGTTTTTGTTTTTGTTTTTGTTTTTGTTTTTAACAACGACCACCTCCTTTTCTTGTTTTCTGTCGTGTGCACTTGTTACAGCCCGATGTGTGGCCAGATCATCGACGATAAGGTCACCGACTGATTACAACCAAACGTTCTTTCACACCTTGGGTTCGCCGGTGCTCATGGACAAGAGCAACGGGCAGCAGACGAGAGGCCCTTCATGGCTGGATAATAGTGCGAGGTTGCCCTCAGCTGTGCTGCAACAGGACGTCACAGAAGAGTGTGAGCAGTCGGAATATGGCTGCCAGAATGCAGCAGAAGAGGTGAAGGTGAAGAAGGCAATGGAGAGGAAGGCAATTGAAGGGATGGAAAATGAGAGAAGGCAGAAAGCCAAGGCAAGAGCCAATGCTGCTGCACTGAAACTTCGACGTGAGAAGGTATGCTCTCACTGACATGATGATGAGGAGTAGCAGGAGGAGGAGGAGAAGCAGGAAGAGGAGCAGGACCAGGAGGTGAACCAGGAGGAGGATATTGATGAAGATGATGATGATGATGATGATGATGATGATGATGATAACAATCAAGGTAAATGATGATGACTATGATGATGATGATAACAATCAAGCTCAATAATGATGATGATGATGACGATGATGATGATGATGACAATCAAGGTCGATGATGATCGTGAGCTAGTTACAATCGGCTGGTGTTACTTCTGTTCTAAGGGATGGATGGCATGCTACTTACTTGTGTGAACGAGGACGTTAGGTAGTTGGAAAGTGGAAAGTTGAGTACTGAGGCAAGCTGACAATTTGGTCTTGATGTTCATGTCGTACTGTGTTTTATCGGTTCAGGAACAGAAACATCTTAACGAAGAGCTGAGAATTTGGTCTTGATGTTCATTTTGTACTGTGTTTATCGGTGCAGGAACAGAAACATCTTAATGAAGAGCTGGAGAAGATACTCAAGTTAGAACGAGAGCAGAGGGTGAGGGAGCTGTACGCGTGTGGTGATGTATGCACATCCGGGCAGGGTGAAGAAGAAAATCCCACTGCCACAAGGAGTGCGCATTGGCAGGAAGAAAGGGCGTGCGCTGCGCCACCTCTTGCAGGTACCTCCTGGAAGCCGGAATTCTTTGTCAAATTAAATAAAGCGAAAGCTTGTGGAAAGTTGGAAACCAAATATTTCTGTTATTTAGAAATCGTCCGCTCTGGCTCTCTCGGTGTAAACGAGGCACTCTATGAAAGCAAGAAAAGAATATACCAAAAAGAAAAGAAAAGAATATACCACTCTATGAAATCAAGAAAAAGAATATAATATGTTTTGTTTGAGTTCTCTCCAAGAGAACAGCGTAGCACACTCTCTGAGACATCAACGAAAATGTCAGCTGAAACTGATGGCAAACAAATAAGTAAAGTTTTCGACGAGGAACGAAAGAAAAAGAAGAAAAAAGAGAATGATGGAGTTTTATCAGAAACCCCCAGGGGTCGGGTCCCACCTACCGTTGTTGAGTTTAGAAAACGTAACGGTGTGACGCCATTTCGACATTAATAAATTCGAAACAAGAAATTAAAAAAGTAAAAAAAACTGAAAACAACCGCTAGAAAAAGCTTTTCTCCTTATTTTTTATAACGTAACTCGGAGAAATGAAACATGTCTGAGAAATGAAACATGTCTGGGACAGTCGGAGTGAATGTCTCCATGAAAAAGGGATACTCCCCGTGGTGAGGGGACAGGAGGTCACCATTTGTAAAATGGACAGGGACAAGGTGTATGGCCAAATGCATTCATTGCCCAAAGAAGGAAACGAGCTTCATGCCAGAGAGCCAAACGAAGCTGTCAGAGTTCCTCCGTTTCAGGATGCACAATGATGTCTGAAAAACCAAAAAAAAGGAAAGGGACTGCGGCGGTTGAGATATGTACCCTACCCTCGGTAGGGTAGTTTGCCCAATGGAAAATGGTTTCCCGCCCAAACCAAAAGGGCCAAAGCATACTACAAAACGGATTTCACGTCGAAGAAAAATTCTACAAAAAGACAAAATCTAATAGGTTATTCTCCTGAATTCGGGTACCATTAGATCGCAATACATCAACGGCAGAGCTCCGTCCCAACAATGCATGCCACACGTGATAGAAAGCTCAGCGTTGAGAAAACTCAACGCTGTAGGTGGGCCCAGACCCCAGGCGGTCACTGACAAAGTCTACCTTTTTT